CCATATACATAATTCTGGGTATAGGAGATGAAACTTCAGAAAAAGCAAGTCCTCTACTCTGCATGTTAGTGAGTGCATTCAAAAGTGTTTTTAACCCTAATTCCCAGGTTTCCTCTATCTTAGGAACCAGGAGGTAGGAACAGGGAATTGGGAAGCAGGAAGTGAGGGGATTCCAGGGTCAACACTACAAAGTCATAAAATGGAAAATCAATAGTTCTAAGTTACAAGATTAGGCAGGCACCAAATATTTGGACAGAGGCCCAAGAAAGACAGAACTGGCTCTTAGGGTATACATAATCTTAGGAATTGAAATGGGGCTGAAGTGGGTGGGATGGGGTGGGAGAAGACAGAGAAAAATTTCTGGAGAATTAGGGTAACTGGTAGAGTACTCTAAGATGTTTAATTTGACACTATATTGCCTTTATTTGGTGCACTGTCTTGTTTTACTTTAGTGCAACTATGTGTGCTTCTGTGTTGAGCAATTTATTTAATATCTCTGTGCCTCAGACATCTCATCTATAAAATGGAAATAATTATACTACCTTCCTTCTAGAATTGTTGGGGGTATCAAATGAGTTAATATATGCAAGTGCCTAGAACAGTGCCTGGCACAGAGAAGGAAGTCTGTATTCATTCCTCATATAAATTTGTTCATAGGTTCACTCCATTCCGTGCTCCTTGTATAAGCCTATTCTTTTAAGTAATGAAATGCACTTGATTCTTGATGTAACTGTTTACCTAATGTAGAGTCAATTCTGAGCTCATTCAAAAAATGAAAAACCAAAATAAAACTAATCCAATGGAGTCGTGATATAAGGATTTTATACACATGTTTACACTGATGTTTCAGTGGGCAGATAAAATATTCTCATTTATCAGAGACCGCATATTTTGTGATTTTGAAATTGCCTTTCAGGTGCTTTTCTAAGCTCTTATTGATGAATACCATAAACTGATAGTAAATCAAATTCTTGAGGAGATAGATTAATTGTTTTAACAATAATTTAATGATCCAAAATTGGTGCATTTTTTTTATGAGGTCACAGGATGCTGTTTAATGCAAATAATAAGTAAGAACAATAGAATTTTACTCGCACATCCCTGGAGATCACATTGTCCAATTCTGTGGTAGAGTCGGTAACGTAAGTTAAGCTCCAGAGATGTTGAATGGCTTCCTCCAGGTAGGATATCTGAGGAAGGATGAGAACACAGGGCTCCTCACTCCTAGTTCTTTATATAACAATGAGCTAAATGAACTGAAATTTATATGGTGGTCTACTAATTTATCATTTTTTAAATTATAAGGACATATACTGGAGGCTTACTATATATACTAGGGACAACATTAGCTGGCTTATTTTATTTTTGTAAAAATTCTATGAAATAGGAGAATTAAATGAGTTAGAGTAGATGCAATTTTTAGAAGAATCTTAACAAATAGTGGTCTTTCAATAAATGTTAGCTATTGTTACTAATTTTCCTTGGAAATTTATCAAAATCTTTCAGAGTTCACTAAGAAGAGAGAGAAAGGATCCTCTTTGAATCAGATCATTAGAGGGAGTCCTTTGTACATATGGAGAGGGCCAAGTAACTTTCTTATAGTAATTTATTCTTTGGTGCCCCAGTTGAGTGGATGAATGGAATTTTTTTCTTCAATAATGTCCTGACAATACAAGAAGAGGAAGTTATGTAGTATGCTTAGAAGATGATGATTCATACTCCCCAACTTCCCCAAGTAATTCCGATAAACATATACAATAGTAACTAAGGTTGGAAAGATTAAATAGGCAATTTTTTTTTTTTTTTTGGCAAGAGTTCTGGGTTGTATGTGAATGAATGTCATGAAATATGACATTCACTAGTTCATTCATTAAAGAATGTGTGCTATTTTCTGGGCAATACTTTAGGCACTAAGGATGAAAAAACATAGCTCATCTCCTTGAAAATGTCTTAATTTGTATCGTGTAGACAAATATAAAAGTGATAAAACTACTTTAGCACACAAGATATGGTATATGGCCCAATTATCTTTAATCAAAGAGCCATGGGGACAGCTGCCTGGAGGAGCTAGGAAAGTTTCATAGAAGAGGTTTTGGAGTTGGCTTAGAGAAACTAGTGTGAGTTTCTTAGGCAATGAAAGATAGAAGGATGTTTTCAGGTAAACAACCACAAGTAAAGGTAATTCCTTACTTGGAAAGCATTGTGTTAGCATAAAGGCCATGTTGAGAAGCGTGTAAATAACACTGGAGAAGTTGTGGGGGAGTCAGTTTATGAACAGCAGTTTTGAATAGGGGCATGAGATGACCAGTTGTGTTTTAGGATGTAAGTCTGGAGGCCATGTCAAGTAGGGGGAGGAAGACCAGACAGAAGACTCATAATGCATCAGAAGAGGAAGTAAGAGAGGCTGAGGGCCTCAACTCAAGGCACTGGCAATGAGGTTGGAGAAGTTGGAGTGAGAGAGGCCTCAAGAAAAATTGATAGAGTTTGGTCGCCAATCATCTATGAAATGGACTGCTTGGGGTGAGAAATTGAAATTGATCCTAACATTTGTGCTATCTATGGAAATCACAGATTTCTCAGGGGAAGGTGATGTGTTTAGTATGTGTATGTGGTTTTTGCCTTAGTTTGGTACTCAAAAACTGTGCATTTTTATTTTAGTTTCAGCATGTGTCTTTCCTGTTTACCCAATGAGATTATAAATGTTTGTTGAATGAATGCATGCATACAGGCTTGTGAAGGGTAGAAGGCTATTTGTATTAAGGGGAACCACACATCAATATACCATGGCGGGAGATATGGGACGGAGAGCTTTCTCCACGTGGAAAGTCTAAGGAGAGTAGGTAGCTTGTGTTAGGTGATAAGGTAGTAAATGGGAATGAGGTGGGCCTTTGTAGTTCCGATGAGATGACTTTGCAGGGCCTGGTCAGGGGTCTGGAACCGATAGGAAAGCATCTGGAGAAGATAAAGTCATGGTCAGTGCTGTGATGAGTCTTGTGGTAACAGTAACATTTATTTTCTGTTCATTTCATTTGGTATGCCGTACAAACTAACTTGTATTGCTTTGTGTGTGTCTGTGCCTACACCATTTCCCAGTTCCACAAGCAGAAGATCCATGTTCCTCGTTGGCAGGAACCATGGTTTGGTCTATATCGTAGGCTCCATAAACATTTGCGAAGATTGTTTGTAGGTAGAATCGCTTGAACTAGAATAATGGTGAGCAATCTTGTATTTAGGAAGCACAATGTAAAATTTTTACAGTTTTGTTCAGTTCCTTGGTCTTTTAAAAATTAGAATACCTTCACAGGAGTAAGGAAGCATATTGCTAAAATATGTTGGTCCTGGGGCCAGACTCCCTGGGCTCAAAATTCGGCTTGCCATCTGCATGACTCAGGCAGCTCATCTGAACTCCATATGGTTTGGTTTCCTCAACTGTTTGAAGGAGGTAATAGGAGTACTTACCTCACAGGGTTTTGTGAGGATTAAATTAATTAATACATGTCAGTTTCTTGGCTTAGTACCTGGCAATGGTGAACACTCATAAGCATTAGGTGTTACTATGGTACTCTACTGAGGGTGTCGGTGAGAAAAGAGGTCTAACATTTAAAAATGCTTTCTCCGCATTTTAAAGAAGTGGCAATGCAGAGGCAGCTTTCTAACCTTTCATGTTGTCCTTTGTGCACAGCGTGTGAGGCATAGGCAAAGCCACGTGTCGCACAGTTCCAGGGGCCCATTTGTATGTCAGCCTGCACTGCCATCCGTGACTGTCCTGGGGTCACACAGCGCTCTTCACCTGCACTCTGAGTGTGTCCTGAAACCAACCCCTCTAGGATAATCCGGAGGAAATTGAGGTCACATATGCCATTAGCTGATCACATTCGTTCATTTCATCGTAAGCAACATTTATTAAGCACCTATTGGGTACCAGGCCTTAGAGATAGAGGTCAAAGACGCGTCATCTCCTTCTGTCACCAGAGTCTTCACTTTATAAGATATTTTCACCTTACTCTGAGGTTGCACAATGCAGCCAGTTGTGCAATGCAGCTTCTCTCTGGCTCCCATGTGCTGCCCTGCTGAGTGCTCACTGCACTTGGCTGAGTCCGGGTCCTGGAGGCCCCAGCTGGGGGGCCCAGGTGCTGTCTTTCCAAGGAGGTGCTCTCCACAGGCACCTGCAGACAAGTGATTATGACAAGCTCAGTGTCAGCAACTATGGTCACTTTGAAGCTAACCCGTACCCACCCATTTCCACCCCTACCCTCCACCTTGAACCTTGAACCTTTTCCCTGAAAGTCACACTGCCTCTATATTCCTCTGAAAGACTCCATTTTATTTTATTTTATTTTTTTAAAGATTCAATAGTTTTATTTATTTATTTATTGAGAGAGAGAGGGTGCAAGTGAGTGAGGGGCAGAGAGAGAGAGAGAGAGAGGGAGGGAGGGAGAATCCCATGAAGGGCAGAGAGAGAAAAGGAGGGAGAGAGAGAGAGAGAGAGAGAGAGAGAGGCAGGGCTCACCTATGGGGTGCTCACCCAATGCGGGGCTCGTGCTCACCTAAAGCAGGGCTTGAACTCCTCAGGAATCAGGAGATCATCATGACCTGAGCTGAAGCCGATGTTAACTGATACCTAGTGCTCAGGGCAGAATGAACCACAGTCAAGATGAAAAGCAGGTGACTCCAGCCTGTGGGCCTGCCATCGTTTGCTATTCTAGATGGGGCTGTCCTGTCCAGATCCCCCCCCCCACCCCCGCCCCCTGCAAGCTATAACGTTCTTTGAGCCCATAAGGGTGCTTTAGGGCTGATGAAGGCTTAAGCACTGTAACTATGAATATTATTCTATAGTAATGTTGACAGCTTTCTGTATAATTTTCATTGAGAAGATCTTGTTTTAAAGAAGATAATTGAGGTACTGGGTGGGCGCAGAAGCCTGTTGCCGCCTGACTTCAGCCAGGTCACGATCTATGGCCCCCTGAGCCTGAAAGTCCTGCCAGTTGTAGCTTCACATGATGGCTCAGGAGCCTGAGCCTTACTCCATTCTTGTGTCTCCCTCTCTCTGACCTCTCCGTCATGCTCTGTCTCTCTTTGTCCCAAAAATAAATAAACGTTGGAAAAAAAAAAAATTAAAAAAAAAAAAAAGAAGATATCTGATTCGAGCTTTTGAAGAAACAAGTTGTTTCAAACTTAATGTACAGTAAGACTTCATTTTTGGCCCCTTTGCTTTGATTAATTGCTACTCTTTTCCTCTCATCTACAGTTTGGGGATATGGATTCCTGTCAGTGACCATCATTAATCTGGCATCTCTCCTCGGATTGGTTTTGACTCCATTGATAAAGAAATCTTATTTCCCTAAGATTTTGACATTTTTTGTGGGTCTGGCTATTGGGACTCTATTTTCAAATGCCATTTTCCAGCTTATTCCAGAGGTAAGGATGTTGGCTCTTTGTGAATAATTGTTTCTTTTAAATGTTTCAGCACTTAGTACATTTTAAGGCTCCATAATTCTCACAGCATTTTATGGTCTGGTTGATAGTGTTGGATGAGACAAAGCTGAATCACAGCAGAAGAAAAAGCTTGTCTCAAGCTACAGGAGATGTCAGTGTTGGAGATAAAATTAATATTCTAGGAGGCCAGCCACCAGGACGTGCCCAGACAGCATTGGGACACCTCTGAGGGCCTTAAAACTTTTTTTGTCTTGCATTTGGCAGCTTTAATTTTTCCACATACTTTTATTATTTATTGATTTTTCTAAAGAGCATGCAATGTCAAACTTACTGAAGATATACCAGAAAATGTCCTTATATATTTACTATAGCTTTTACTTAAGTTTGTGTTTCTCGTCTGTTAGGAACACCTTGATTCTTTATAGTTTGAAACTCCAGCTCTTGCCCTGTGTCCTTTAGACAGTGGATTATTTCATTCTCGTGTGTGTGTGTGTGTGTGTGTGTGTGTGTGTGTGTGTGTGTGTGTGAAAATCTTTCTTGGGCTCAGCCCTTGAGTTCTTTATCTCTTTAGGACCTACCAGGACCCTCTAGGTTTAAAAAGGTCTCTCTTGGGAAAACAGTAATCCAAGTGGCTTTGCCATGTTTGTTTTAAAAATTTGAGTCTGGATATGATGGACAAATACATTAGTTTTAAGAGAAAATGGATTATCAATGTCTCATTTTTTTATTACCCAGATCTAATATTATCTATAAAGATGAGAATCAGTGCTCCTTCTTTACTACTAAAAATTCCTCTCTCAAGGCAAATGTTTCTGAAGGATATAGCCAAGAAACTAGAAGATATTCTGGGTCTTTAATTAACAGAACTTTGGTTATAAGACCACTGTGTGATCTCTTACAGTTTGGTTACTTAAATTTCAGAGTTTTTGTTTTGTAATTTTTGTGGGTATTTCCCAATATTACCTCATCTGAAGATGGACTTAGAACTTTGGTAAAAATTGTATACTGAAAAATTTTGGTATCATTTTCTAAAAATCAAGTTAAAGTACTTAGTTTTACCTGAACTTTTTTCTCTCTTAGGCTTTTGGATTCAATCCCAAAAGTGACAACTATGTTGAGAAGGCGGTTGCTGTGTTTGGTGGCTTTTACGTACTTTTCTTTTTCGAAAGAGTGCTTAAGATGTTATTAAAGGCGTATGGTCAGGTAAATGGACTTTATTTAAAATATATGATGTTTGACCCCCTACATCTACTTAATAGCTGTATAGGCATATAAAGGCAGGAATTTTATCCTTATAATTCTATGAACTACTCAGTTTTTAGGCTGGTGAATGTGAGGAGAAAGAAAAGAGTCCATATATTAATAAGGGTAAGAGAAACACTTGATTCATACTGTGGAATTTGGAATGAGTATCAACAATTAAATGTCAAAAAATGTGCACAATTTGTATTCGTTCGTGTTCATCAAAATAAGGAGGCATACGTACCCTAACATGAACAAACAGAAAAAACAAAATCTAATAAATGAAGATACATTTATAAATCTAAAAAGATTACATATTGAATAGTCATACAGATTTTCTCTTACAAATAAAAAACACTAGACTCCCTGCTTTCTTGGATGTGTGAGGTACCATGTTTCCTTCTTATAACCTCTTCTTCCTTTAAAAATTGTTTCATGTAGAATGATCATACCCACTTTTCAAATGATGATTTTGGTCCTTCTCGTGAGAAAACTCATCAACCTAAAACGTTACCTGCAATCAATGGTGTCACATGTTATGCAAATCCAGCTGTCACAGAACCTAATGGACACATCCATTTTGATAATGTCAGTGTGGTATCTCTCCAGGTATGGCATTTTCACTTTACTATATTGCACCCTTTATACAATGTGAAGACTTCTGTGAATGCAGCCAAGTCAATATTTAGACACTGAAGTGCGTCTCACTTATTCTTGTATATGTGGAAGTAAGTGGAATGTGAGTCTGTATTCTTTTTCCAATTTTCCTCCCTATATTTACCTAAACAAGTGAGTTAAGCAAGAAATTGTGGGTTACTGGATCTGAGACTTCACTATTCCCTAAGATCATTTAACTGTATGTATGAGTAACTTGGATTTAGTGCTATGTAGCAAACTTAATCAGAGCATTTCTCTTATTTTGCAATTCTTTCAAGATCCAAAACCAAAGAATCCCTTTGAGTAATTTTGAAACTGCAAGAAACAAAATTTGTAAGCTGTTAAAGTCATGTTCATTAATTAATTGATATAGGATTTGTATCTCCATCTTCTAAATAATGTTAATAGGAATCATTTCTTGAGTGAGTATTATGTGCCAGGTAATATGCTAGGCACTTAATAGTTTTGTCTCATTTACTTTTTATAGCAATTATTCAAAGTAGGGTTTATTTTCTACGTATTAGAACTGTTTCAGTTTCAAATGATGGGAATCAAACACAAATTATGCATGCAGAAAGGAGAGTTTATTGGAAAGACAGTGGGCTGTCTAATGGAACAGCCAGGCTATAGGAAGAGTGAGAACCTAGGGACCATTAGGACTGTTAGAACTCCTTTGCCCTCTCCTCCTTCCTGTATCTTAGAGCCATTCTTTCACTGTGCGGTGACTCCTTCCATAGGTGGGAAACACAGCCACCAGCAACTCCTGAGATTTATGTCTTATAATTTCAGCCACCAGAAGGAAATTTAACCTGACTCTTTCAGTTCTAAATACAAAATTCCTGGCAAGTGTCTCCTTGGTCCGGCTTGCATTAGATGTCCACTTCTAGACTAATAGAGTTGGGCCCCTTGTATGACTGCCAGGGCGTATGGATGGAGTAGAGGAGTGTTTAGGAAAAAGGGGTGCTCGGGTAACAGTGTCATTTGTGTTCATAATAATTCTCATTTGACAGATGAAGAAAATGGGACTTTAGATGTTGAATAACTTCTGCAGGGTCACTCAGCTAGGAAATAGTAGATCCAGAAGCTACAAAGTTAAACATAATGTAGAAAAGAAACATTGAATCAAGGAAAGTCTGCTAGGAAAAAACAATTAAGTAGAAAAAAGATATCTGGAAGAGGTTATTATGGCAAATGGCCTGAGTTTCCTTCTGGAAAGAAAACATGATCCATCATATACTTTGCCCCACCTGATTAAGGAAAATCTCAAGTGTGTTTGAAGAGGCAGTTTTGTGTTAGCACTAAACTAAGAGAGGAAATTATTTCATGCAATGTAATGAATGATGTTTTCAGCCAAGATTTTGTAAAGAATATGAAATGTTCAAGTAGATAATTTCTCACAATAATTATAGCTAACATTTATTAATGCTCAGGGACTCTGCCTAGAATTTTAAGTGAATGGCCTCCTTGGACCCTCATCATAGTCTAGGAGATAGAAACTGTCATAATTCAGAGATTGTAGCTTAGAAAGGTTAAATAACCACCCCAAGGACACACAGCTCCTGCGTGGCAAAGCCTGGATCAGGATTGAGGCCATCTGATGTTGAAGCCTGCACTCTTGCTGGATTGCCTTCCTCAGGTCACAAATTCTCAACTAGAATCAAGATGATGACATTAACTCTTGACTTGATAAATATTAATTTTCTTAGAGGAAGAAGATAATTTGACCCTAGGCTGTTGCTTTATGAGGGCAAATAAATTGAACTGCTCGAAAGTTTGATTTTAGTTTTAAAGTTTTTGGGATCCTGATTTATGATTTACTATGGCCAGAAGACATGTTTGTATAAATATTAGCACCCTGACAAAAATGGGATCCTACACATGGTCCTGTTTCACATAATTTAGAAATATCAGTTGAAAAGTTATTCTTACTCTATTTCTGGTAGTGCTAGTACACAGGCTTTCATTCATTTACTCATTAAACACTTATTGAGTACCTGCTCACTGTCCTGGGCCCTGGGGTTTCAGAAGCAAATGAATTCTTGTGAAGCCATAGTTTATTTAGTAGACAATATAGAAAAGAGTAGAACAAGAAAATTTCATGTAGCAATACTTTGGTGAAAATATAGTATGGTGATGTGGGGTGACACGTGGGGGCTTCTTTGATCAACAGAGGTCCCTCCACAGATCAGCAGAGAATTGGATAATGAGAAAGAAGAACCAGCTATGCAAATATCTGAGAAAAAACTGTTCTAAAATCTTTGAGAGTGATCAAATGGGTTATATACAAGGGAACTGGAATTGAAATGGTATTGGACTTCTGATACCAATTCTGGAGACCAGTGGCACTATTCCTTTGGTATTCTGAATAGAAACAACTGTGGAATTGTAAACCAAGGTAAACTACCAATCTAGTGAGAGGGTGTAATGAAGCTAGGATTCTGGAAATATACTTCCAGGAATTAGAAGTCCAACTCCAGTCAGAGAAGATGTGTTTCAGGATGACAGCCATGCACCAAGCTTTGAGATGAGCCATGCAAATAGTCCTGACACTAATTTCTCATGGGGACTATTTTCTGGCCATCTGGTTGAAGGTATAGTCTTAAATGAAGATAGACTTAAGTACTGAGTAATGTCTATTATTTTCAATTTTCTTTTTAAAAAATGTTTATTTATTTATTTTAAGAGAGAGAGAGAGTGCCAGCATGGGTAGAGGCAGAGAGAGGTGGGGGAGGAGAGAGAGAATCCCAGGCAGACTCTGCACTGACAGCTCAATTCCATGAACCATGAGATCCTGACCTGAGCCGAAATCAAGAGTCAGTCACTTAACTGCTTGAGCCACCTAGGAGCCCCATTATTTTCAGTTTTCTTTTTATATTGCATTAAAAAAATCCTAGAGGGGAAAACCAGCAGCAACCGCTTTGACCTCAGCCACAGCACTTTCTTACTAGACATGTCTCTGGAGGAAAGGGAACAAAAGGAAAAATGAGCTATTGGGACTTTATTAAGATTAAAATATTCTGCACAGGGAAGGAAACAATCAACAAAACTAAAAGGCAACTGACAGAATGGGAGAAGGTATTTGCAAGACATGTTGGATAAAGTGTTACTATCCAAAATCTATGGAGAACTTATCAAACTCAACACTCAAAAAACAAATAATCCAGTGAAGAAATGGGCAGAACACATGAACAGACACTTTTCCAAAGAAGTCATAGAGATGGCTAACAGACACATGAAAAGATATTCAGCATCACTCAGCATTAGGGAAATATAAATCAAACCACAATGAGATACCACCTCACACCTGTCAGAATGGCTAAAACTAACAAGTCAGGAAACAACAGGTGCTGGCAAAGATGTGGAGAAAGGGCAATACTTTTACATTGTTGGTGGGAATGCAAACTGGTGCAGCCACTCTGGAAAACAGTCTGGAGGTTCCTGAAAAAATTAAAAATAGAACTACCTTATGACCCAGCAATTGCACTACTAGGTATTTATCCAAAGGATACAAAAAAGGTGATTTGAAGGGGCACATGCACTCCAGTGTCTTTGGCAGCACTCTCAACATTAGCCAAATTATAGAAAGACCCTAAATGCCCATCAACTGATGAATGGATAAAGAAGAAGTGGTGTGTGTGTGTGTGTGTGTGTGTGTGTGTGTATATGTATGTAAATGGAATATTACTTGGTGATCAAAAAGAATGCAATCTTGCCATTTGCAACAACGTGGATGGAACTAGAGTGTATTATGCTAGCGAAATAGGCCAGAGAAAGACAAATATCTTATGATTTCATTCATATGTGGAATTTAAGAAACAGAACAGATGAACATAGGGAAAGAGAAGGAAAAATAAGGTAAAGACAAAGAAGTAGGCAAATCATAAGAGACTCTTTTACATAGAGAACAAACTGAGGGTTGCTGGAGGGGAGGTGAGTGGGGGGATGGGCTAGATGGGTGATGGGCATTCAGGAGGGCACTTGTGATGACCACTGGGTGTCATATGTAAGTGAGGAATCACTAAATTCTGTTCTTGAAACCAATACTACACTATATGCTAAGTAACTTGGATTTAAATAAATAAAAATAAAATAAAGTAAAATTGCTTTTAAAACACACACACAACAGGCACCTGGGTGGCTCAGTCGGTTAAGCGTCTGACTTTGACTCAGGTCATGGTCTCGTGGTTCAGGAATTCGAGCCCCGCATAGAGCTCTGTGCTGACAGTTCAGAGCCTGGAACCTGCTTTGGATTCTGTGTCTCCTTCTCTCTCTGCCCCTCCCTGGCTGGTGCTCTCTCTCTCTCTCCTTCTAAAATAAATAAAAACATTAAAAAAAATAAATTAAATAAAACACACACACACAAAATTGAAAGCAGTAGAATTTTGGAAATACCCTAAGAGCTAAGATATTGCTTTAAGAGATAATAGAGTAATATATATGATAGTGATTTTAATAATAAAATTAAAATATTTTCTAATTTGGGGCACCTGGGTGGCTCAATCAGTTAAGCAGCTGACTTCAGCTCAGGTCATGATGTCACGGTTCATGGGTTTGAGTCACAGTTCATGGGTTTGAGCCCCACGTCAAGTTCTGTGCTGACACCTCAGAGCCTGAAGCCTGCTTTGGATCCTGTGTGTCCCTCTCTCTCTGTCCCTCCCACACTCATCCTTTGTTTCTGTCTCTCTCTTAAAAATAAACAAACGTTAAAAACCTTTTTTAAACATTTTCTAACTTTTTAAAATGTTTATTTATTTTTGAGAGAGAGGAAGTGGGGAAGGGGCAGAGACGAGAGAGAAAATCCAAGCAGGCTCTCAGCACAGAGCCTGATGCAGGGCCGGATCCTACGATGGTGAGATCAGGACCCGAGCTGATATCAAGAGTTGGATGCTTAACCAACTGAGCCACCCAGGTGCCCCTCTAATTTTTATATGATAAAAAGGATTTAACCTATA